TATTGCAGACATCTACATATAATAGCTAATAGCAGTGTATTTCATTGTGACTAGTTTTCTTAGGTTTGAATCGTTTGAGAATAAGTCTCGCTGATATGAGCACATAGTCTATGTTAGTGATTTTATACCATTATATCCAATGGTATAAAATATATTTATCTTGAATTACTCGTATTCGTTACATTGTTGGTAAGGTTGTTTTTTTGTTAAATAGATTGTACGTCATTTGGTCAGTAAATTCCATACCTAGTGTCACTGATCAGTCACAGTCACAGTTATATTAGTGTTCATTTATGTTTCAAATAATGTACATTTATTTAAGATTTTGTATTTCTGTTTGAAGGGTAGTTGTCATTTTTTGCAATTTCCTAGGCCTATTATTACGTCTATGATGTAGGTATTTTTGATTAGTTGCAGACTGTCTTGTAATGTAGTTAATACACTGTATTATTCCTAGTTCCAGTAATATTTTGTGATTTACGGGCGTAAAGCATGGAAAAATAACAGTAGGATCTGACAGCTTGACGAGTCTATATCATGTTTTGTGTTGGTATCCGATTCTGATTCTGATACGTAAGCTCAACCGACGACTCGAGTGAGAAGGAAGGTTTATTGAATTAAACTCGAGCAATATATATATATATATATATCTTTGCTACGTTTGAAGAGATTACGAGATCACCTAAAATTGGTGTGCGAAATGAATGACCAACAACACAACGACGAAACAAGCTAAACTATTCCGATGCGTCCCAGCCCTGCTAACCAGAGGGAGAAGACCAGGTTCAGGTGAGGGAATCGTCTATTCCACAGAGTCGGAGGCAAGAAAGTGAAAAATTCAAATTTTCGAAAAAGTTACAAAAGTAAGGCGCTTACTAAGTGATTTCTAGGGATCTAGCATCCCCAAGAATCCTAGAAATTTAGGCTATACGTCGATCCATTGATGTGTGTCACGTTCCTTAAAAAAGGAAGCCAGGTTTTAACCACAAATGTGCGCTGATTGTGTGACTGATGGCTGATTGACTCACTACATTAGATCATCATTAAAAGAACAGAATTAATAACACATTTTGTCATTCATAAACAACTTGAGGCAACATCCAGTAAGGAGAACAAATGGAGATGGAATAAATGCCAATCGACACCTGGTTAGTAGCGTGTATATCGAGATGCCCATGAGCTTCATTCATCATGATGTCATAACTAGTGAGTGCACGATTATATTCAATGGTGAGGAACGAATCTTGTTAAGAAATGCTCTTTTTAATCCCTACTATTTTAAGAATACCTTCCTGTTATATATTAGTTTATTCACTGGTAAGTTACATATTAAACAGATTAATTGTTTTCGAGAAACTGACCAATCCTTAGGACGAGGGAACACAAGTGATATGTGATAATATAATTCATGAAACTCGTGGACACGTATGTTATTATTTATCAATTGAGTACAAACTTAATGGTCAGTTTGCTCAATCTTATCGAGTGTTATCAATTGTGATATACCCTCTAGTTGAGTTGACCTAAGTGTCTAAGTTTATTATTCATCAGTTTCTTGGATTCAACTCAACCATTGGATTCCATATCGAAATTAATTCATGTTTCCCCGGTTACAATGTCCGTAGCTATATAGTATCACTAACATTTACACTAAAATCGCTGTTCATTTCTATTATCTTCCAACTTTATGTTATTCCTTTAGAAGTGAATCGCTGCGTTGGTAGGATGCCCTTCTTTACCTTGGAAATCCACTAAAGTTGAACCTATTAACCAATGACAAACGATAACTAGTTGTTGTTCTATATCACAAAGTAGTTGAATTTCTAAAGATTTCAAGGACTGTGTTATTAGTTGATTGGTATGATGGTGTCTTTTGTTTCATTCTGCCTGCACCGCTTAATACTGGGATTTTCCAGTGTTTCTTCCTCCTTCCCAATTTTCTCAATGCTATGTAACCAGTAAAAGTAAGATGTAATTGGTCACTGAGCGAAGACAGACGCATTCAAATTACTATTTATGAATTCCCTCCTAATACTGATATCGACTCACCACGTGTAATGGACTGCTAGGGTTCATGTTAAATAAATCTATTGTCTGGCATATACTCTGGTTCGCGCTATAGTTGATTGTGAATCGTGTATCTAATATAGCTTCCTAATCTTAGTCTGTGTATAGTGTATCGGTGAACTGTCCAATTCAGTGGTATTATCATCTCGGAAATGGGCCGTTTTGTTGTGTAATGATAGTAATATATCTTGATAAATCGAAAAATCTTACTATCTTGTTGTTATATCTGGTCCAGAAAAAGAATTTCAAATGAATTTTTTCACACTTTCTCATTCTTACTTTTTGGTTGTTAGCTTACAATCCATTATCGCGTAAAACTACTATTAAGATTCCAGCTGACAGTGCATTTGCTCGACGTAAAGCGTATGATTTGAAACATAACCAGTCACGTCGTTTGTCCTGTACACCTCATCGTGTTTCCAAGCAATTATCAATAACTCCTCCTAAATCGACTACTGTCGCACGACAAGATATTCGTATACCTAAACCATTTGTAAATGTTCGTCGTAATAAAATGGAATTATCAAAGATTTGCAAGCAGGATCGAGCAATGTCAAGGAGATTATTAGTTGACAAGAATCGTGGCTTATAGTTATTTTATTATTCATATATATATACCTCTCATCCATTTGTATAATATTTATCTAATATCTAGTAATATCTAAGTGTTTGTATCATAGTTATCTTATTTTAAAGATATTATCATTATTCCATTTTTTAACATGACAAAACATATTGTTACTTTTCTCATTTCAACTAATGTCATTCTTAATTGTCTCTAATAAGTGTTTTGTTAATAACTAATTATTTATACTTGAGTTATTTTAAAAATTTCATCTTATATATATTATTTTATTAATTTATACCTATCCTTTGAAAAGGGGATATTAGCGACTTTGTTTTCATTTCTTTAGATTCTCTGTTGAAAAACAATCAGTATCGATTGAGATCACGAACCTACTAATGTTAGATCAGCATTGAAAACCTGGGATTCCTCAACAGTGTGCACCCACGATCCCGTTCGCCGGATTCGAACCCAGGGTCGTCGGTCTCGAGGTTAAGCGTTCGCGCGTGATACTGATGATCAGTGTTGACATAGAGTTAGTATGACATAAAATATGTATTAGTTCAAGTTCGCATTAATACAACAAGATGAAATTATCAAAATAAAAAAATAAGTCAAAATCATTCTAGTCACAGTAATTGTGAAGAAGACTAAGTACTGAGAATGCAGTTTTATATGCCAAAAAATAATGTACATATGATAGAATACTGGAATTAAGTTATCTAGCAAAAGATAAAGATAAAATTCACCTGGCACCATTTTAACTAATTATAAGCCATTTCGCCCACTTCTAATGATTGATTTTAGTTAATACATTGATACCAATCAAGTGGTTAGTATCTACCAACAACCGATAACACTGACTGAGATACTACTTAACCCGATATATATAAGTCTGTTGGTTCTTAGTGGGTAGCGATTTCTCCACAGAACATTGACGGTGAGAAAAATTACAGAAGTATGAGAAAGTGGATGACCTGGGAATTTGTCTAATTGATTTGGTATAAGGATAGTTAGCCTTGGGTTTTCACTTACAATTCTGTTTTACTCAATATCTCATTCAAATAGATTGAGGTAAGGCATGAACAACATGTGAAAACATAATACCAGTTCATTTTTATTTCTTACCAACCGTTCTCAACTATTCATACCAGAATATAACAATATTAAATAATTACTAGGAAAATCCCGGGTTTTCTAGTTTCTTCTTGGAACGATAACTATGAATGAAATTCACTCATGACCGTTGTTAGCTTCAGATTGGTTGCAGAGACTTTTAGCTCTCCAGTTTTTGTGTTTCAAGGTTATTGTCTTCGCCAAATATCAAGTTTCCTTCCGGACTGCTATTTTCTTGTTGTGTCATATCGTTGTCTAGTTATATCGAGAATGTGGTTATTATTAAGTGTCAAGCTATTGCGCTTTTTAAGGATGTAGGAAGTTTTAATATCAGGGTTTTCGGAAAGTGTTGGAAGATGTAGATATGTACTGTTCTATGTATATTTCTACAGTGCTTGTGTTTGGTACGCACATATGGATGGATAAATAGTCTGGGGTATCGAGGAAAGACCGTTTCTATTGATTTCAGGAGGCAGCTCGTTTCGTGTCAGATAGTGAACCGTGCCCTTGGTTAAGTTGTCTCTAATGTAACGTCCAGTACTTGGAACAAGCTGATTAGTAGTTTGTAGTGAAACAGGAGGTTCAACAGTGACAATGATTTTATCAAAGTACTATTACTTGGACCGATGCATCAGTTCAGGATATTCTGTATTGGTTTCTCAACTAAAAATAATTTAGCGAACCAACCGGTATAAGCTCAGCGGTTAACTTGTATAAATTTAATCTGGGACACATCAAGGACTGCACAGAAACTAGGCAGTTTGTTATCACTGATATTCATTAATACCTGTATAAACGTCAAATAGTGCAAAGTTCTTACAGTTAGGATATTGCTATCCTTAATATTGAGTTCTGATTGGAATTTTGAATCGATCAATGTTAGTTCGGCTGGTTAGCTTTTTTTTTCCTACGAGATGTGGTTGCAAACCTCCTTTCCCGACCCTGGGACCTGACAGTTGAAACGAATTAACCCTCCAGACGTAACACAACATTAGACTGTGACTCATAGTTGACAGATTTATTGCTACAAATAAGACTCATCATCAAGATGTTACACTTCAAGGGGAATTAGTGCTCATCTTAATGTATACATGAGGAAGTTTGGAATTCAAAATTCCTATCACGATAGATTCTATTCTCAAAAAAACTACCGTGTAGTGCATGTTGGCATAGAAACTTAGTTTTACTGATTATCAATCATACTAATTCAAAGTAGAATATATTCGACTGCTAAAGCAAAATTAACGATATATGATATTACGAGGTTTTTTTATTCCGAAAAGCTTAACAGACAAAAATGTAAGAAAAGATGTTATGAACACTAACATATTTGTGCTCACAACATACGTATTATATCTGTACTGCAGTCAGTTGATTTTTTTAAAATTACAAAAGATGTATGTATGTGAAATTGTCGTAATCACCGGAAGGTGTTCAAATTATCAATACGTAAACAATTTAAAATGAAATGAGAATCAAACACGAATTCGAAGTAAGATACCCGATTACTATTAATAATAGTAATAATGTTGATCAATTTTCAGTTGATATCAATGAATTATTTGTTGATTGATAAATTGGATTTGAATTGTCCAACAATAGACTTGTACTAGTTGATGATAACTGATCATCATAAGCTATTTCATCATAATCTACAGAGTTTAAATCATAGTCCATGGGATTGGGGATCGGGGAATCGAAATTACCCCTGATCAACTCATTAAATAACTCGTCATCTGAATCACTTACACTATTATTATTATTATTATTATTATTATTATTATTATTACTAGAAGTAGCATTGATGTTGTGATTATCATTATTGTTTGTCTGAATAGTTTTTTCATCATTACAAATTGTATTCTCAATGAGGCAGATGTTTTCATTATGAAGAAATTGATTCGGTTTATTCAAACTACATTTGTTCAAATGACTCGTTTCAATGTTCAATTGATCGAATTCATTAGATTTCTGATGAGTTGGTGATTTATTTGTTGTTGTTTGATTGGTACTGCCCACTTGTTTACCAATCAATTCGTCATTCTCAATTGTGTTTAAATTCTTATTACAGTTAATGTTTTGAATGTTGGAAACATTTGAGACACTTAAATAATAATAATAATAATAATAATAATAATAATAATAGTAATAATAATAATAATAATAATAATAATAATAATAATAATAGAAACAATCGAAAGGAAACAATTAGAAGTGTATTTGGAAAACTACGGGTAATCAGGATATAATAATCAGAATATCACTTATTTGGATAATTGGAACTGAGTGTTGAATATTATTTTTTTCTAAAAGGTATCATCAGAAATAGTGTTCGATAGTATACCTTTATTTGGTCATATATATTATATAATTTAAATTTATAGAGGATTTTTTTCCAAAGTAATCAAGTGTCAAGGATTAATATCCTTAAGTTTATCTTTATAGTTTACATCGCGAACTGATCTATGCAAAAAACCACTGAAAATCTGGAAGCACTGGACGGCCGTTATGTCTTAACGTATCCATAATCACGTACGCTGGAGTCGGACCAAGGACCTTCGGTCCCATGCACGAACGCTTAATCTCTAGACCATTGGACCGGCATACAATGGTGTCAAAGTCTAACTCCAATCAATTGACGATCTCACCCATCTTTGTATTGTCTGAGGTGGATAACTTTCGTTCAATCAACATGGTTCGACTATTCTGGTCGTGGCTTCTCATTAGAACTCTAGGAATTGCATATCGAAACTAACTACTGGTGAGCACACGTAATTTGCTGCTCTCCAATTCGCGCGTCACACAAGATATAACAATTGGCGACAGCGTCCTTGAAAGACATTGGTTGTTAATTAATCATACAGCATTGCTCATTACCGTGCTGATCAAGAAAATGACTATCTTTCCCGATCAATTAGTTAGTATTTGAGCGACAAGAGCAGCGGTTCAAAAATAGCCAGTTGAATGTTTTGGACAATTTACGCGCACGGCTGCTAAATTACCCATGTTTTGGAGATGTAACAGAAGTTGATAAACTAATTTCTAATTTTGCATACCGAGCTGGAAATCGACTGCAGAACATATGAATGTGTCGATAAAAACCTCTATGAATCCTTGATAAGCAGTAATGTAAGCGAAGCAGTCATTCACGATGCGCCCAGTGATCCAGAAATGTTCATTTCAGAGACATGCCCTGTCGTGGGTTCAAATCCCACTGCCCCTGAAGCACCATGTACAAACACTGACTTGTCCAGCTCACAGAAAATCGACGTCTTATTAAATGCTCATGAAATTACTGCAATACCCGCTCACGAAGAGACAAAAAATGAACTAAGCATCATAATGACAGTTGCGTCAAATAGAGCTCATTATTCCAGAACAAAAGTTCCTGATGAATTTACTCATTGGAGTTTTCTAGTTGTTTTATCAAATATGAGTTATCTCAATGACTCCTATACTTTTGATCAAATTTACAAAAATGAGAAAAATTTTCGGATGCATCAAACGATGATCAAGAACCTAATAAAATTTTGACAGATGCTGATCATTCTAGTGTTCGAATATCTACTAATGAGATTTTCAAGAAATCCGATGACAATGTTTCAGAAGAATCAAACTTTGATGACTTCATATCAAGCGACGTTGATCCTCACCATTTAAGCACCTTCAGAAAATTCTCTGTTCAATGTGATAAATACGATTTAAATAAAGCCAAATTAACGATAGCTTGGGAATATGAGGATCCAACACTGTTTCGTGGGGGAGGATGAACTCGAAAATTTAAAATCCGGATATCGACTCCGGATCTTTCAAAAAGGGGAGGTGTTGTATCCCGATAAGAATAGTGAATGGTAATTTTTGCGACCCATTTATGGGTCTGTTCGTATCCATGTCCCTCTTATCATAAGCTTTATTTTGACCTACGAACTATTATTATACGATATACCATTCTTGAGTTATGTCCTATCTATTGATTCCTATCTCCCTCATTCACAGCCACATCTGGCTAATTCTTGTACAAATGTTGTTTCATATTTTATTGGTACGTTATGGTCTGTCTGGTTGATATATAAACCGAGTATGTTTGAAATATAAAGATTCATATCACCGAGGCTGAGACTTGTGTTCTGGACTCAACTGGCTGGGCTAGACAGAAAGCAGGACCAATCAGGACTCGAGGCTGCTCGCACGTATTTTATGCATCACTTTTTTGATTGATAATTCGCTGCTCTCTAATAGGCGGATCAACATGGTATAACAATTATTATTGGTATAAGGGGATTTGCGGAGAATACTTTGATTTGTAGTTTGTGCTTGTCACGGACTGACTTCAGCTGGGCCAGCATTGAAAACTAGGAAACAACTGACAGCTGTTTTGCCTCAGCATGTAACTCCTCAGTAGTGAGCGCTTATAACTTCTCTAGATATGAAACCTAGGGTCTTCAGGTTTGTAGAGAACACATAACTATGAGAACCACTGGGTTGGCATCCAGTGGCACAATTCCAACTTCAATCAACTCGCGTTGTAGCTCAACGACCAAGTAACACCATAATAATCTAATACGAATACAACCCATACATCTTAGATCTCGTTATAGAGAAACTAAGGAGTTAATTCATGACTAATAGTAGTTATGCGACTTAATATTGATGAATGATTAATGATTTAACCATGAGGTACTCTTAAGATTACTAGAGAGTCTAGGTTACCAACATACATACGCTCCAAGTATTTTAAGCAATGGAGGTTAAGCGTAAGATATCGAGTATAAAGAGTAAGTCGACTGATATCTTAATTTTTTGTCGACTAAGGGGTGGTTAATTCACGTGTTATTTATGCTTAGACACTGCCCAAGCTGACATATGCTGAATAACAGAGCAGAAGACTCGAAACAAGCTGGGGCTGGATGGACTAAGACATAGCACTAAGCCGACAAGCTGTTATTTACTGGTTTAAGTCAAGATTGATTCCAAGTTTTCTCACTGTCTTAGTTGCAACCCATTTTGGAAAGGAAACGTTTACTGGTTACGGATTGTACAGTAGTCACAATCCGAATTGAGAGAAATCAGTTGAAACGGCACACAGTTGGTTGCAATAGAGTGCATTCATTCATACTGCGTCTTCGTTTGATTATTGAGCACTGTCTCTGACTTAATTTTATTGATCTAGCTGGGTTCTTGTAAACTGTATCTTTCATATTCTGTATTTCTTTTACAAATGAAATTGACTCATCTTCATTGATTTTTATTTTGCTAATTGTCTCTTTCATGGTGCTGATATAAATTAAGGAATAAAATAAGTGAAGTACGACATTTTGATAAACTCACTGTGCATTTCATTTCTTCAATTTTAATATTACTAAATATTAACTATTAGTGAAATTCTCAAAAATATAATGGGAAAATACAAACCCTTAGCAATATTTTCATACCCATCAAACAAGTTGGCAGCTATCTGAACTTTGTAGCTCAACAGATAACGCGTTGGTACTTAAAGCGATAGATACTAGGTTTGCATCTCAATCTGAAACATTTACACTGAGTTAGAGGTACATCAGAGTGAGGAGTCTTAAACAAGACGAAACGCACAACCTAGACTCCACTGTTAGCCACATTTTAATTTTATTAAATCTTGTTACTAAATGACACAACTGAAGCAGTCCATTCAGGATGAGTATATGTCAATAGAAAGTGATCAATTATGGTCTTGAATATCAACCATGAGAAAATACAAACTCTTATAAATAATTACACTTAACAGTCTACCAAAAACTAAAAAAAGTGATCATTTAATGAAGTGATTTTTACCGTGTTGAACTGTTTGAATCGTTTAGCATTGATATTTCATTTGTGTCACATATTTCAATTCTTTTCACCTCTGGTATACACCCATTCATTTGTTTATTATCTAAAAGAAATCATTCAGAAACAAATAAATGGTTGTATTAAATGTATTTAGTTGATGAAATTCGTAACTCAGTAATTAAATGACCAAATAAAATCATCATCATTACGAATTGACATTGGTTAGACAACCATTAAAAACAAGGAAGTAATGAATAGATATTTTGATCTACTATGAGAATCTTGGGAACTGAGTGTCTTCGAATCTCCCACCCATTCAGAGGTAATTCCTGGAGTTCTAGAGCAAAGCCTTGACCAATGGCATTCAACCATATAGCCAGTGAGGCATTTTGTCATCAGTAGTATTAAATGTTGGTCCCTCAATACATCTTGTTAACTGAGGTTAAAATGTAAACCGTGATCAGGAGTCCAGTATGTCTAAAGATATTATCTCTGATAGCTTGGTTAATGTGGACTATTGAAGAGTCTCGTAACAGGATGAAAGAGCTGTCAAATGCTTCTTAGTTTCAATGGCTGTCTGAAAACAGCCAGTTTGTGATGCTAAACAAAAAATTTAAATAATTATCATGAACAATTTACACGAATATTCGTTAAGAATACAACGAATAATTTGAAGAAATTGGGCGCCGAGTATAGAGAAATCATTATATGTGAAAATTATATTGAAAATAATCTCAGCGATTGAAATTTAAATAATCCCAACATGGTGGAGAAGAATTGTAACTCAGGTGGATGATTTTGATGGAGTTTTGTTCTCTGAGCTGGGTGGTTTGGTTGTGGAGCTTTCATCGTACTTCTGAACAACATCATCAACATAAACTTCAGGTAGAAATGAAGTGTTCGAATTTCTCCACATATGGCTTACAGTTTGTTCTATAGATCTCGATATTGATTGGTTCTTGTTGATCGTAAATCAATGACAGAAATATGAAAGCTCCACGATCAAACAATTTAGCTCAAAAAAACAAAACTCCATCAAAATCATTCACTTGAGTTACAAATCTCCACCGCGTTGAAATTATTATATATGCAACATAATAATTGACTCGCTTCTTTACCCAGTAATCGATTCTTCGTGTTATTATTTTCATCATCATTTGAATATGTACCGATTATTGTAGCTGCTTTCAATTCAGCAAACATTTGATCTGTTTGTGAACTTTTCTTAAAAATTTCTAAATTATCAATTAGTTGTTCTGTAGAATTAGTTGAAGAGTGATGATGTTCAGCAGTAGTTTTTTCTAAACGACAATATTGATGTTCAAGGTTACTGTTGTGATCATCCATAGAATTTTTGTGATTAATATTTCCATAGCTCGTAACCCTTAGATTATTATTATTGTTACTAGTTATAGATGTGTTGTTAGTTATTTGACTTTGTTCTTGTTCATCTTCTGAGTTTAAAGAAATTCCTTTGCTATTATTGATATTATTATTATTATCATCATCATCGTTATTATCATTGTCATTATATGAATTCGACATAGTACCTTTGATACCGGTATGAGTAGCTGTATTTGTACAGGTAGAAGGAATCCATGCAATATGTGGATTGGATACTTCATATTTCTACATTTCAGTTAAATAATAAAATAAAGAAAAGTTGATAAATTAATTACATGATCTATCTGTGAAATTAGGACAAAGTTGTCAAATAGCATGATTCTTTCAAGTTTAGTCTTTAGCTTGAATGTATTTGGGCAATCAGCAAATAGGAGCCACTTAAGTGATCTTGATTACCATATAATATTCCAAAATGATGTAACTTATCAATAAAAACATATCTGTAAACTGTTGATACAGTCCATTCAGTGCATAGTTATGGACGGCGGACAAAGATTTGAGATTGATTATCTTCTCTCCTAAAATTATTTGTTACAGAAGTAGGCTATGTGTGTAGGCCATTATGAATGAATTGATTATTTATCTGGTTAAGTTTATTCACTTACATGCTAAAAATATGACTAGCTTATAATCCATTTAGAACTTCAGAAGTCGAACAAAGTCAACAGAAGACTTTGGTCTTAAGTTTTATGTTATTTAATACTTGCCGATAAGGGGTATCTTCATGAGTAGTCATCACTCAGCTCCATTTAGTGCTAATTTAAGAGACCGAATTCGCATTCTTTCTAACACAAACATACAGTATTTTTGTCATCAAAGTTTTCTGAGGGTCAAAATTATGAATGACATATAGTAGTGTGATTTGTTTTAATACACCATTTCCTTGATTACACACTGTTCTATGTAAACGGAACTACATATAAGTCCGAACTTACTCAATACACTATTATGAGATTATCAGTCAGTAATTAAAATACTTATTGAAGGATATTTTTGTTAGTTCACGTTAGTAGTAACCGGTTAAGAACATTTCAATTTATCTTGTTTTTGTGAATAAATGTAATATATAAGAATAACCATCCTCTTTTCAATGTTCATTTTTCTCGCGTCTGAATATCATGTTTTGATGATATATGTATACAGAGTTATTCTACTTCAATCATGTTCTCATCGAATGTCAACCTTTTTTCCACACTTCTATCGTTTTCTTGGGTTCTATCTTATGAGGATTATTGTTGAAGTATTGAGTGTATCTTTCTGTATATGTCAGTTATTGGTATTATCGAATTCAAGTTGGTTCTTATTTGTATTATGAGAATCTATATTTCAATAGTTGAGATCATTATTTAATTGAAGCTAGACCACCATAAAAAACCTAAAGGCCCTGGATTGCCATTTCGTCATATTGTGGGACTCCTCAGCAGTGTGCATCCATTATCCCGCCTCACAGGATTCGAACCCGGGACCTATCGTTGCTGAGAAGTCCCACAATAGGACGAGACGGCCGTCCAGTGCTTCCAGTTTTTCCATGGTGGTCAAGTTTCAATTGACTCATGATTTCAACCAGTGAAATTACTACAATCTCCATAAAACCCTTTCTGATAAGAATCAACTGCTCACTAGTGACTGATTTCAAGAGGCATTTCCAGGAGTTCTAGCGGGAAGCCGTGACCAATGGAGTTCAACCAGGTCTGTTGTGAGATATCAGCTCACTAAAGACGATTGTGTAGGGTGGCGCGTTTTCATGGATTAGTTGAAGTTAGACATTAACACCGTCGGATACCGACTCAGTGTTCTAATAGTTAAGCGCTCGCTCACGAGACTGACAGGTCCTGGGTTCAAATATCGCGGGGGCCGGGATCATGTATGCGCACTGCTGGGGAGTCCCAAATTAGACCGAAACAGCCATCCAGTGCTTCCAGGTTTTTCATGATGGTCTAGCTTCAATTGACTTATGATTTCAACTATTGAAATTACTACAATCTCCACAAAACCCCTTCTGATAAGAATCTATATTATTTTTCATAAGAAATTATCACAAACTCGTTCGAATCAATCTTAAGATACAACCCAGACAATGAAGTTTTAGATTTAAAATGATTCAAACGAAAAATAAGGGGAAAATTGACTAAATCCATAATCTTTAACTTTCATTATTATCTTTAAACATTCATTAATTATGTAATGATACAAATGAATTAAGAAGAACTTACATGTTGTATAGTGTTTTTATTATTTATTATCTTTTCATTAGTTTTAATTGAATTCTGTAGATTATCTGTTTGTACAGCACGTGTTTTAGCAATAGTTTTCCATTGAATATGTCCTTTTACATGTTTAGTATTAGATTTTTGTTTACATGATTGTTTAGTATGATTTACACATTTTTCTATTTTAGTTTCTTCTTTATTCATTTTGTTACTACTTATTTCATCATAATAAGTAGAAGAATGATTTTTGTTAACATTTTCTTCTTCTGTAATACGACTAATAAGAGAGCATAATTCTTCAAATGTATCTTGTAAAATATTAAGTTCATCATTGGATGTATTAGATTTATTCCTAGAATTGTTTGGAAATTTAAAATATATTGTGAAATTAAGACATTTTAGATATTAATTTTTTAAAAAAAGTTGACCTACTCTATTTGATTGGACAATTTGTAGAGATTATCAGTTTAGGGGTTTTGAAAATTGTCAAGTTTCTGATTGAGATCATGAACCGATTGCTGTTAGACCACCATTGAAAACCTGGAAACACTGGACGGCCGTTTCGTCCTATTGTATCGGGTAGAAACAGGTGTCTACCTCAATACAATGGAAGGTGGTCGCGCAACTTCGTGGATTGGTTGAGGTTAGACATTAACACCATTGGATGCCACCTCAGTGGTCCAGTAGGTTAAGCGTTCGTGTGCGAGACTGAAGGCCCCGGATTCGAATCCCGCGAGCGGGATCGTGAATGAGCACTGCTGAGGAGTCCCACAATAGGACGAAACGGCCGTCCAGTGCTCCCAGGTTTTTAATTGTAGAGATCAGTTTTACCTGAATACATATTGTTTTAATCAAAGATTGACATTTAATAAATTAGTGAAAACCAAAGGAGAACTAAGTACATGTTTCGTATTGAGTTTGAAACTCATCAACAATATTTACATAGGATATCAAAATTTTATATATAAAAATAAAAGGTCAACTAGACTAGGAATGGGGTAAGAGGAGATAAGGATAATGATAAGAGTAGTAATAACAATGTGAACACAATTTGAAACCTTATCACTCTGGATAATATGTTAATATTACCAGGATAGATTTAAGGTGAGAACAAACTGTTTTTGAATACACAAAGGGAGTTTGGATTTTCGTATGGTTAAGGCTTCAATAAACCTTAGTATACGCCCTTTTACACTTTCATACAACACCACAAAAGACGAGTTAAGATCAATCTCATGGCCTATTTCGATTATATGTTTAGCAATAGAGGATGATGGATATTTATCCTCTACTTTTATTGGATCTTTTGATTGTATTTGTTTCTGCAACCATTTTGGTACATGTTCACATACTCTAATTTTGAGATCACGATTGCTCTTCCTTATGTATGTGTGACCACACACAAACACAGTTAAATTGGTAAACATAGTGGGATGTGACACAACTGTTTTCATTTCTTTTAGGTTCTGGATGAAACATGCACCTTGTTCTTTCTTTGATAATGACCTTTGCTGTGCAATACGTTTTGTTTATGACTGATTTAAGCCTTTGTTTCAATAAAAGGCTATTTGAATTCTTTCTGAATGGTAAGGTGATGTAGACAGGCTTTTCTTTCTACCAAGGCTACAGCAGGTCTTACTGACCATTTAGAAAGCAGTATCTGCTCCAAAAGTAATGTATGATAAGAGATATTAAAATTATTATAGATTAAATACCTCAAAACAATACATAAACGAAGAAAGGTTAGAAGTAAGGATTAAAAGCCTGCTTAGAGCCAGGGGTAATAAGGGTTAAGAGCCAGCTTTTTAGAGTGTTAGGCTTGGAAATATCAGGGTAAGAAAATGTGGTAAACTTTCGTGAATACTTTATAATTATAAAATGCCCTTGAGAATGTACTGAATCATATCATGCACACTCAGATACAATCTGCACATAGAGCACAGATTTCTTCTAACTTAGCTCGCAAACCAAATTCACTATGCATTTGAATAAAAGTTATTCTTAACAATTTCAAACAATTTATAAACCAATTACACTCGAGTTTTCCTTAACTTTTAATTCAACACGATTCATGTTATCCTTTATTGAGTTTCCAATTTTACGCATTAGTCTATGGCAGCTATCTCAAATGTGATTGAGTGTTTTATGGTTGTCACTATGGTATAGTTTTACCCTTACATCTCATTCTAGAATTATGCCGCGCTAACGACCTTGGGTGAATTATCACCCACTGAGGAAATACTGCCTAATTGTAAAACAATTAACAATGAAATAACAGTGGAATAATAACTAATAATAATTAACCATTACATCTCAAATGATCTCTTAATGTAATGGAGAAAGGTTAAGTTTACATATTAGAAGTTGAGTGGGTGTTGTGAGTTAGGATGCTAACAGGTTATCAACCCATAGAGTTTTCATCATCAACTGACATCATTTATAATGCAATACTTTGTTACTCTTTTGTTTATAAACTTAAGGAACTTAGGGTTGGGATTTAGAGTAAGAGTAAGAAAGAGAGAATAGTATCTAGTTTCATTAAACATTTTGGAAAGTAAATTGAATTATATATTAAGTACTTTATAACACAGTCTACCTTAGCAATAAGTATGTTCTGTAATTCACATTAAGTATCATTTAAAATTCACTTTTTGGTTGCATAGCAGAAATTCTTGGCGGTTTCAGATATTTTAAGAACCAAATATTGACAATTTTCATTTAGTTGATAATAACATACAAGTTATTTTAATTCTGATGGGTTAACTCAAGGCCATCAATACACTACACTCATAAATGATGTTAGATGGCAATACATTAGTGTTGTAAGTGAACTGGTAGAAGACACATGTAATTACATTTATAGTTACACAATATACCCTTGTGGGCCAGGGTAATTTTACATTGATTTTCAGGAGAAGCAGACACCATCCAGACTTTCACGTGACAACCCAAACAGTACGGCTCAATCTCGTTTAACAGGAGAACCAAACACCGCTTAGGCTTAAATTTTATAATCCGAGCAGTACAGCTTAATCCTGCTTCACAGTAGAACCAGACACCGTATAGGCTTTAACGCTACAATCTGAATAGCACAGCTCAATCCTGTGGCGCAACCACACAGGTACCAAGCACCCTGGTAGACCAATCGCACCATTCATGTACACATTCACTTCACATGTATAATTATTCCGATCAATGATCGCGTGGATCAATTATGCACAGCACGAAAAGGCCAAAGTTGACTTATTCCGCTTACACGACAGTCAAACTCATTAATGTTAACAATGGCGACATGCCTTACAATGGCCCTTGAGTATACTGAAAAGCAACCACCAGTATGAAATCGGTTAACCGGCAAACCAATTTTGTGCATGAACAGTCAGCAAAACTTGCCAAAGCAATGCCGAACCATCCACAATACCAATGGAGAACCTTCAGTCTTATATGAGACCTTCAGCTCTACATAGCTATATAGCGTATATAAATATATTTTTCAGTAATCATGACTGGAACGTACGTTCAGCAAAAATTCAATAAAATATTGCATAATCGATGCTAATAATCCACTTTCTTATTGTAACAATATTCATAGTGTTGAATAAAGTTGGCATTAATGTTTTCATTATTATCGTTTAAGCTAATAGCAGTATGTGAAGAAAATGAACTACGAATCAGATTTCTTGAAAGAATAATGAATGATATTTATATTAGGAACTGTTGAATTTGATTTATACATGTATGGTTAGATAGTGTTGAGTTCTCCAACCTATATGGCTTAATTATGGAGCTCTCATTGTTATTCTGAATAACATCTTCAGCTCTTAATTCGTGTAGAATCGAGTCTTTTAGTTATTCCATAAGTATCATACTGGTTCATTTCGATGGTTTTGATCATGCTTAACTGTCTTCATAGGTTTCATTGTCTCCATTTACCGTTTCATTCACGTTAGTTATCTTTTTTGGTTAACCTCTGGCTTTCTGTACGAATTCATAGATGTGCCTGTTGATCATTAATTAATCTAAATCCTGTACTTTTACAAATTCCCTAACATTCCTGGAGTTTCTCTGATCCCGAGTTTTGGCGTTCTTTCAGTCAAATTGATGTCTGTAGTTATCAGTGATGGTAGATCACGCCACCTCACTACCAATCTGTGTTCATTTATCCATATATATAATCTGAAGTGTAATGTTGAGAGAATCCTGACTACATTTTAGAATCTTTCAAGATATTACTGATATACTACTTAAAGTTGTGGTTTTAAAATCAATGGTTTTACCAGTTCGATGTCTCACACAAATTTTATATATATTAAACATACTTGGAATTTTGAAGAGTCTCAATCATATTTGTCAAACGACAAATGAAGTTTCTCAATTGATGTATTGAATCTTGATCAATTTTAAATAGATGCTTAGATTCATCCGCCTGTTGAACAAACTAAAAATAAATATAACAACGGAGAAAGACATCAGTTCATGTTGAATAATTGATCATAAAAAAAAATAATAAAAATATTTATGTACTAGTGACTAATTTAGATTGGTTATTCCCGGAGTTCAACCATACTGACTGTGAATTAGTTACCCATCAAGAGAATTAAAGGTGAGTTTCAAAATATTGCGAACTGAATTAAGTTAGAAATATCAAAAAATATGATGTCAACTCAGTGGCATAAATATTAAGCGCATTTCAAGAAACCTGAAAGTCCTGGGTTAGATCTCCTTTAGTTATCTAACTAAGATCAGTTCGTGATATACAGTATACAACTAAAATGATAATAATACATTTCGTATTGGTTGTTTGAATCTCCCATTGATATTTAAGACTACAGTTGATCAATCTTATTGATATATATATGCATCCTGTGCGGATTGCCTCGATATCGCCCTAAATCACAAGAGTTATAAGTAGAGATGGATGGTGGCTAGCAGTGGGATCCAAGACGCACGTTTCGTCCCATCCCAGAGTTGATGTTCACTCCGGGACTCGAACCTAGTACCATTCGTTTCAAACGCTATCACATTACCCACTTAGCTACTAAGTCCAGACAGCCACTAGCTTGTGCAATGGGACGAACATCAACTCTGCGATGCAGGTACATCCAACTAACGACGAGTTTCAAATAAGACGAAACGCACGTCCTGGATACCACTGCTAGCCACCATCTATTTCTGCTTATAATGCTGGTGAAGCCAAAAAAGAATAAGTATACCATAATTATGTAACTTATATGAAGGGAGAATAAACACTATTTTTTGTTTGCCAAACTATACTACTATTATTACGACCATATAACCAGTGAGTGAGATTATGCCAGCACTGGATTATATACTCGATCGATACGCTATCCACAAACTGAATCATATTATATCAGATTCACGATCCACGACAAAATGATAGAGAATTAGGAAATAAGCTAGACAATACTTTATTCAGCACGACTACACTTAGTGAGTCCGAAGTAGAAATAAATAATAGGATTGGAAAATATATATTAAATATTTAGTAAGCCGATTATCTGTCTGCTCAATCATATTTACATTTACCAGACACATTTTAATAATGTTTGAATGATGAACAATCAGAACAGAGACCAACTTGTTTATATAAGAAATAAAATTAAGCTAACGAGAATATTAAAGCCAAGTAGATTGTACTAAAGATCCTAAATCATGCAATTTTAAATATTGAGTTGATTAAATGTAAAAACAAAGTGCTTTTGAATATACAATGCTGGAGTGATATGTTCATTTTTGTATCCCTGTAACCTCAGTAAAATCTAATTATTCTCTGAAGATCAATACCATAAAATTCTAAAAAGGTTGAATTGAGATCATTCTATAGACCTGCTTCAAATATTTCTTAAGTTTTACTATTGGGCCCAACGATAATTTTTTAAATTAAAAATGATTAAGCTCCTTTTAATACGAACGGGATCTAACGCGAATTCGATAGAACACCATACACTGCAACAATGATCCCCAATACAATAGAAATACAGGAAGAAGTCAAGTGATTAGGAAAGGTTTATAATTCAAGCAAACGAATTTGATGGAAAATAACGAAGTGTATATACAATGACAGACATGACCTTGAGATACATAAAATTACCAAACTAATAACACCAAAGATCAGCGGGGAAGTAGGAATTAGAAAGAGGCAATTGAAGTCTTTACGGTCAATCAGATTTAGCTGACCTTACAAGGTACAGTCGGACAAATCCACACATAAATTTACAGATTAAAACTGAGTAGTAAATATATGCTTGGTGAATGAATGCTATTGAACTCAAAACAGTACAGGGGGTTTGATTTCACTTTGAACAAATAGCACAATTATGTCATGATGATTTAGCATACTGGCAACAACAACTTATTTTCATTACGAACTAATTTTTGGTTACTATCGAATATAAAAATGTAGATGTGAAGGCGCGCATCGACAAAGCAAGAGCAGCATATTTACAACTGAAGAACATCTGGAACTGAAAACAACTGTCTGTCAACTAACACCAAGGTCAGAATTTTCAATACAAATGTCAAGGCAGTTCTACTGTATGGGGCGGAAACTTGCAGAACCACTACAACCATATTCAAGAAGGTATAAGTATTTATAAATAGTTGTCTACGCAAGACACTCAATATCCATTGGCCGGATACCATCAGCAAAAACCTACTGTGGGAGAGAACAAACCAGATTCCAACAGAGGAAGAAATCAGGAAGAAGCGCTGGAAGTGGATAGGACACATATTGAGGAAAGCAACCAAATGCGTTACAAGGCACGCCCTCACACGAAATTCTCAGGGCCAAATGAGAAGAGGAAGATCAAAGAACACATTACAGCAAGAAATGAAGACAGACATGTGAAAAATAAACAAAAATTGGATAGAACTGGAAAGAAAGGCCTAGGGCAGAGAGTGTTGGAGAATGCTGGTCGGCGGCCTATGCTCCATTAGGAGTAACAGGCGTAAGTGAGTAAGTAATCGAATATAAAAGAATGTGAAACTGTTGTAGTTAAAGTCTTTAAATTTCAGCTATTAAGCACCAGATTCAAACCACTTCCAACAGTTTTTTGTTTTGAGTAACCGGCTAGTATTAGTAGTACACTAATTGCGTGACTCGTGACCTAGTACATGTACCTGTGTATTGTTAATGAATCATTCTACACTGAAGAGAAAAATTTAGTATCGGATACTGCCACCCATATGTAAACTAACTTTAATATTTTAGCAATTCAAAGAATAAATTTTCAGTAAATCTCGTTGTAGATATTTATTGATTTTTCTGGCGATTCAGTGTGTGTTGTTGTACTGATGAAGACAACAAAAGTATGAAACATACATACCTGATGATTTCTCAATAACCGATCAGATTTTCGTTTTTCACTTTGTAAATCTTTTTCAAGTTGTGATACTTTCGTCTAGTATGTAAAAATAAAAGATATTTTAATAATAATAATTAACTCGGTAATGTGCTCGCTTATCAAGATAACTGAATGTTCCGAGTTCTATATTTAGTAAAAGTAGTGGACAGGTAAACGGTACGAGGGTCCTAAGATAAAACAAATAAGTTTAGTAAAAAAAGGGAATCAGTTATCTAGAACACTACACTAAAGAAAGTCCTGAATTTTGCAAAATCAAATGAACATTTCATGACAAAAATAACCTACCATATTAGTAAATAATAAACGTCAAGATGTGTGATGCAAATCTATAGTTTATGGTCGGTAAGTACAATATAGAGATAAAATGCTGTTTCTTGTAAGACCTTAAGATATAACTTGAGCCTAGTTGGTTAGTCATCGTTACCATAGGGCCTGGCAGATAGGCATGCTCGTCCAAGTTGCCATATCACAAGATGGTAAACAAGACATGAGATTGGAATAATGTGCAAAAACAATGATAATGAGAAAGACTGAACATTAAAAATACAGTTTGAGAAGATAGACTATAAAGGTACATATAAAGGAGTACAGGTGCTAAAATAAAGGATGAACGCATCTACGCTATTGTGAACGATTCTGAGTCATGCCACCCAACATCTCCAACCATCGATCGCAGTTATCGCTCCGAATCAATTCAAACAGTCTGGATCTATTAAGATGGATTGATTAAATTAACAGTTAATAACCTCTTGCATTGATTTCATGTTTTGATTTGGCTGCTCTTAAATTTCTCTCAACCCAAGTAGTTATGAAAGATTCCATAAAACGATCGTATAAGTAAGTTGTTTAACATTTCATAGTTTAAATGTGTTGATATATGACAGAAACTACTATGGAACTCTTCAATACATTACTTACGCGTGCTACCCCTCGTGGAGGAGCATAGGCTGCTTACCAGCATTCTCCATCCAACTACGTCCTAAAGATCATGTTTTATAGTTATGAAAAAGAAAAAGATGAACTGTTGTACGGTGTATTTATTTATATTTCACCTACACCATAAGCTGACGTATCCAAGGCAGCTTTCTGAATCCATTTCGATTTGAGCAATCGTTATTTTATGAATAGTTCGCATACACTTATAAACAATGTCGTTAGGTTGAGAACACAAATCACAGTCAAACACTTAACTATTAATGTATAAACACATATATACCACATATTACAAAAAAATCTCTTCAGTGTTGAACATTCAGCATACTCATTCATAACATTGTTCAATGTTTCACTTTGTCATTGTTCACTTTATTTGTTTGTGTTTACTTTATATAACGAGAATGCAAAATAAAAAATTGGGAACAAACTTTAATGGAAGAGGATGACTAGAACAAACCAACAACCGCCAAGAACACAAAAAGGAATAAGATCATATTTAGTTGAAATGTTATTATAGTCAATCAGTATCCAATAGCGTGTGTTTGTGCATCACTTTACTCTTTACTTTCTCGATTGTTCAAGAATGAAAATAAAAGTTCGGCGAGACCATAGTTTATGAACAAACCGATCAGATTTAAATCCTCCTGTAGCTCTTCTAGAGTTACTGCCGGTCCCAAGTCCAGGTAAAGGAGAAGGGTCGGGGGCATTGGGTTAGCAACCCCATCCGGTAGCAAACAACCCTGCTAAAAAACGCTAACTAAAACAAACAAATTAAACCATTCGATGCACAATACAAAGTAAAATATCAATTAATTTAACTACAAGAAAAATATCATGAAATATTAACCTACCATAAGCTGTTTTAATTTATGCTGAAAATTCATCCCTGATAATTCTGGAGAACTTATTCTGGAATTGATCATTGAACATGATTTTTGATACGTTGAGTTTTGTCGGTTATGCCCAAGACGCTGTTTTTGTGTTTGTGGTTGACGATGATGTTGGTGGCAATGACATCCATCAGCGATAACCCTATTCAATGTTTTTGCACATGGAAGAATAACAGATTTATTGACATTCTGATTTATATTATTAACATTTGATGATTGTTTATTGACAAGATTATAATCCAAATGTAGAGCACGTGATTCAAGACATGTTTTACCTGGACAGTGAAAATTTGGGTAGCCTCTATGATTAAGAAAAAGAAAAAAAATAAGGTTATAAATGGTAGATACTCATGTTCGTACTTTGGTGAAAATAAACAGATAACTTTGTTTAGTTTATCTGGGGCAGTAAGATAGGAGAGCAATTTTATTGATTTAGTTCGAGTATTGATTTGTTCCTCTAAACCGTCTATCTAGTTTGAATGACATTCGGCTAATTATGAACTCGCTAAATGTGAGATAACAGCCGAGTGTGACGTTAAATGACCATTGGTCTAAAATGTAAATTCCTACGTTCGCTCACTCGCCCTATAGTCAGGATAGAGAACAACTCAACAAGTAGTCAACTTTTAGCAATACAGTTCGAATTTATAAATCATTCATACGGTAATAAAGAGCTTAACTTATTAGAAAATGCAACATGATGAAAAGGATAACTGACGTAGTAAGTCTAGATATATTCAAAGTTATATAGTAGGAAGATCAACTTGAATGGAGTTTCATACTTGTCAAGATTCACTATTCAGGACTAAAGTCAGTAGGCGCTACCATTAAATCATAAATAACTTTCTATATAATTCGATAGAAACAACTATTTTTATTAATTATTGAAAGTAGACTGTATGTTTGTAATCTGATTTAAGAAGTATTAAACAATGGTGTTTCAAATGAATGATTGAGTTCACAAATAAAAAAAATACTGGATTTCATATTTATCTAGCCTTTATGAATAAGGACCAAATAACTTTGTCAGTCAATTGTTTTCAAAATTAGAAGACTAAACTGAGTCAACATTTCACGGCGTAATCTATCGATATACCATCGTTTCTGTTTGGTAGTTAGAAATAGGCGGTAGGAAATCCTAGACCTAGATTACTTGCTAGTTAGCATCCATTAAGTAAATAAGACTAGTTATTGGAATATAACAAGGGTCAACCAGTTTGAAACATAGGTTTATGGGTTTGTATACCGTCCGTTGGCCGGATACCATAAGCTACAGTCTACTGTGGGAGAGAACAAAACAACTTGGAGCTGAAGAGGAAATTAGGAAAAGACATTAGAGGTGGATAGGACATACATTGTGGAAATCATCAAACTGCATTACGAGGCACGCGCTAACTTGGAATCCTGAAGGGAAACGGAAAAGAGGAAGACCAAAGAACACACTGCGTCGAGAATCGGAAGCAGACATGAAAAGGACCAATCGTAACTGGAAGTAACTGGAAAGGATTGCCCAAGACAGGGTTAGATGGAGAATCCTGTTGGACAGCCTATGCTCCTCCCATGAGGGGTAACAGAAGTAAGTGAATAAGTACTTCTAACTACTTAATATCAAAACGTACTGTATATGATGTCAAGTCACTTAGACATTAGCAACTACATTGAAAAGTGATCAGTAGAACTTGATTAGAACTGGGAACTGAATAAACATGACATTGGTCACAACTCAGTGACTAGTCTTCTCCTCTTCAGAATTAACTTCCCCTCATCCCCGTTTTTGTCCGACTCCCAGTTTGTTATCTATGGTCGACTGACTGATGGTTATTATGGTATATTCAAAATAAGAAAGAATGAATAAATACATGAATCTTACCGACAGCGTGATGCTCTTGCGGCAGTTCTCCATGGTATTCCTGCAGTAGAACTTGTTTGATTTGATAATGGAGTAGTTGGTCGACTATAATATACTTTTTGCATAGTTTTAGCCACACCAGGTGGCTTCCATACTGCTCGTTCACTTAAAGGCTGCCCAGAATCAGAACAATGTAAATGATGATTACACTTCTTATGTAGGTCTACATTACATTTATGATGTGTTCTATGATCTAGATAATGGGCAGGATCCGCACTACGGCATCTCGGTCGACCACCAGCAGGCTAAAAAGAAAACAGATTAAAGAGAAAGTAGAAATAAATATTCATCATATTAAATTTTACATAATAACTAAGATATAAATGCATTAACTACATAAACCAACATCTTTGTGATGATGTTTAACACTGGATTTTGAAGAATAAATTTGTTGTTTCTAGCACTAAAGCGTTATCTTCTAGGCTATTGGATTACGATACCTGCTAACTTATTTAATAGGTATGCTACCTTGTAGGAGTTATTCGATACAATTTGATCTCTTTCTGAGTGTTATTGAAAATCAGGAAGCAATGAACAGCTGTTTCGTCCTGTAATGCAATTCTCCAGCAGTGAGCACTGATCTCCATGACAGGGATCAAACCTTGAACCTTCAAATTTCACAGCCGATTCTTGACTTTTAGAAACTGTAGGTCACTCATATTGTAAGTTATTTGACTTTGAAATTGTATGTTATTTAATGATAAATCTGTGATTAAATGTTATATTACACACCCTATAACCTAATATTCCAGGGTTCAATCACTTTACAAAATTGTGGGTACGCATTAGTAAGAGTTGTCATAACAACAATACAATACCACTTATTCAGTTGAATAGTTCAATTTTCAATATTTAGACAAAGGTGAATAATTTCAAGTTTCAATATAACAAATAATGGCATATTGTGGAGGTGATCGAAATAGATAACTTTCTTGAAAAGAAAAATAATCAATAAGAAATGAAATTATCTTTCTCCCAAAAGAATTATGTGCTTATATATTTTTTTGGGGGGGAAGGGAGGGGGGAATAATAAATAGGCTGATTATGTAAATTATAAACTTTTGATTTGGTTCAATATCCTACCCTAATTGCCTATATATACACTTATCTATATGTGTAGTTCTTATTACATAGACTAATGAATACTTACCAATCTTTATCACTCTTATGTTATACACTTTGAACCATCTCTGCTCACCTGCTTCACTTATTCACAGGTGTGTGTTAGCGCACACGACAGCAATAAAAAGTAATGTACCATTGATGATACATATGTATGTGTGTGTACTGGCTGGTATTCTCTCAATCTCTCGTTTCACTTTATGTTCGCTGAGGTGCTCACACGCATACTTATCCCATAAACAGACATATAAATACGTACACACAATCATTGAAGACATTGGATCTTTGTCTTAGAATGAAGTATATTTAGAAGAGAGAGAGAGAACAGAATGGTAAAATGACAATCAGGTTTTTTTTTTCAAAAAAAAGATCAAACTAAACTCAACGAAAATTTCATTCCGACAAGGAAGTAAGTAACAGCCATTTTAAAGAAGAGAACATTGGTAGTTGATTATTTTTTTCACCCTCATTTTTATCAGTCTTTTTCTTGTTGTTTTTTCTCTTAGTAATTAGACATGTATCCCTTAGAGGGAAAATGAGAATGAGAAAAAAAATTGGCAAATTGTTCTCTTTTTTTTCCTTCTCTCATCATTACAAATAAAAATTTACAATTGTATTATAGAATGAATAAAATGTAAAAGATGTATGTTCATCTATTGAATTTTATTGTTAAGGTTGAAAGATTGTAAAATCATGGAATGACGTAAACTAGAGAAGTTTTCGGGAAATAAAAAAAAAAAACTACACCCAATAATTTTGCTCAACTGATCTTTTCATATAGTTTTGGAATAGATCAATAGTAAGGAACTATATTTGACGTAATTAACTACTATTTTTGACTGTCAGTTAAGTTTGTATTATACAGATGATGTATTCACAATCTATGGGATAAAATTAAGGTTATAAATAATTCTAATGGAGAAAATCGATTATCTGTAATCTTAATAGATAAATTAATTGGATATTATATTGGTTGTTTGAATTTTCTCATTGATGTTTAGGACTGTAATTGATTAGTATGTGTTATAATTTGTGGTCTGTGTGCCCTGTTAATGGATAACGTAACGATACCGCCAATTAGGGAACAGTAATTTATCGATCGGATCAATGACGCGTAAACCCGTACGAGCAGCCTACAGTCCTGATTGACCATGCTTTCCACCTAGCCCAGCCAGTTAAGTCCAGAACGCAAATCTCATCCTCTACGATATTTCAAACATACTGGGTTTATATGCCAACCAGACAGACCACAACGTACCATAAAATAGGTAACAACATTCGTAAAAGATTTAGCCAAATGTGGCTGTGAATATGGGAGGCAGTAACTAATAGACAGGGCATAATTCAAGAATGGTAAAACGTATAATAATGGTTCATAAATCAAAATAAAACTTATAATAAGAGTAATATGAATACGAATAGTTTAGTTAATTAACAATTATACGATAAAAATATACGTTAAGTATTGGTCCATAAATGGATCCCAAAGTTACCATTCATGATGCTTATCGGGATCTAACAGTATGTTATTGGCATATGTGCATCATGTATGGATTGCCTTTTCCACTTCAAGAAAGAATTACCACTGATCAGTTTGAAAACGTTCATTAGTTAAATAAAGACACTATATAAGTAGTAATTGTCAAATATGTCCTGTATCCTTATATATTTTATAATTTTGCATATATGTATATATATATTGTACATACAATCCGTATCTTTATATTGATTATAGTTTGTTCTTCAATTATTCTTGATTAACCCTTTTTGATTTAATTTCTTACCACACTTAGATTACCTTATGATTTGTTAATCTTCACGGATGACCTAGACATTGCGAGATCTATTCAAGGTCACTATAATCTTCAAATCCTAAATGCATACATTTCTCGTTTTAGACTCCTACTATTTCCTGATAATTCGTTCCAACTGTTTACCAGCTCTGTTTGCAATTCTTAAAATTATTTAAGATCTCTTGTGTTCGTTGAATTTCTTTAATAGTAATTATAGTTACGGTTATTACATATCTCATTATTTGTGTTGTATCGCATTTGTTATATTTTGCGCATAACCTGTAACTTCAAAGCTTTCTAGTTTGAACTTATTCTTGCGCGCGAACGCTTAACCTTTAGACCACTGAGTCGGCATCCAACGGTGTTAATGTCTAACCTCCATCAGTCCGCGAAATGGCGTGACCATTTTCAATTGTACCAAGGTAGATACCTGTCTCTACCCGATACGGATTAGCTCCATTGGTCACGGCTTCTCACTAGAACTTCGAGAATTCCTTCACAAAGCTAGTCAGTAGTGAGCATTTAGTAATTAACAGTATAGGGTTATGGAGATCATTAGGCTTTTGATTGAGATTATGAGTCAATTGAAGCTAGATCATCATGGAAAATCTGGAAGCACTGGACGGCCGTTTCGTCCTATTGTGGGAATTCTCAACAGTGCGCCTCCACGATCCTGATTCATGAGGGAATTCTCGTAGTTCTCGTGAGAAGCCATGGACAGTGGAGATAATCCATGTTGGGTAGAGACAGGTATCTACCTTGGTACAATGGAAGGTGGTCGCGCAACTTCGTGGATTGGTTGAGGTTAGGTATTAACACCGTTGGTTGTGGACTCAGTGGTCTACAGGTTAAGCGTTTGCACACAAAACTGAAGGCCTTGGGTTCGAATCCCGCGAGCGGGATCGTGGGTGCGCACTGCTGAGGTTTCCCACACTGGGACGAAACGGACGTCCAGTGCCCTCAGGTTTTCAACGGTGGTCTAACATCAATCGGTTCATGATCTCAATCAAAAGCACAATGATCTCCACAATCCTATTTATTCTGGTAAGTAGCAATTTCGTTGATTTTATTTACAGAATGATCTTGCTTATTCTTTAGCGTCTAGTACAATGTCACAGTTACATGGGTTACCCTGGCTTTTGTACAAATCAATTATTTTATTACTCTTAAGTTATCTTAACATATTTTGAGCATATCAGTTACTCGCTTATAGCCTTGACTGTTTTCAAATAAGCGTGTGTGTGTTTATTACTTACCTTATTTAACAGAAATGTCTTTATTGCTTTGTTTGACCAATAAATAGTAAATCAGGCTTATCAAATCGAGTTGGCTATTTCTGCCACTCCGGTATGCTTGTTTCTTCTCGTCTCTTATACTTTGTCTGCATTATCAAATATATGATGTATATGTTCTCCAAATACTTTCATATTAGATATCTCATATTTACTTTGTTATAGAAATGAGATACATCGACAGCAAATACATGAAGTAAATGGGATAAAGATTTCGTTAACAATATTATTCGATTATATGAAGTCAAACGGTGCGCCATTAAAAGACAGCCATTGAAAAATAAGAAGCGTTTGACAATCTGTTTCGTGTTAAGTATAAGACCCAAGAGAAGTAGTTCTTGCTTTTGAATTCAGTCAATAATTTTTTCTTCCTTCGTTGTTATTCCGTTGAGGGAAACATTACTTTGAACGAAACAATATTTTCAAGTATAGGACTTCTTAGCAGTTCATACATATGAACCTACAACCATTAGGCATATTTTCAACATCGATCAATTCATGATATAGCACGACAATCATTCAGTTCTTCCTGGTTTTTACTGGTATCTCAGATGAAATCAATATTTTATGAATACAATTTAAAAGTTAAATTAATCTCCATAAAACTTTCTCAACAAGACTGCTTTCCGCTAATGACTTAATCAGTTTTGAAAAAAATATTTCCTTAAGTGAGAAATTACAAATGTAAGGACTCATTAGCTAAGTGGATAACGCGATGACATTTGGAGCGAGCGGTACTGGGTTTGAGTCCCAGAGTAAACATCAACTCTGAGATTCAAGTACATCCATCTGATGAATCCTAAATGGGACGAGACGTGTGCCAGACTGGATTCCACTGCTAGCCCCTATCCATCTTTACTTATAAAGCCTGTGACCTAAGACAATATCGCGGTAGTCTGCACAAGATTCACATATGCCAACAAGAGACTGATCAATTACAGTCCTAAATAATAATGAGAAGATACAAGTAAACAACACCAAGTGAATTTAAATGTTAGAAATGCAAATGAACTTACTATAAACGGTGGTCTATCAGATAAATTATTTCTATGATATATACATACATTTTTATCATCAGAATTAACAGTTTTCTCATGATTATGAAAAGAATTATTTGATTTTGATCTTTTTCGATAAGAATTTGATGATTTCACAGATTTGTTGAATGAATTTGTTAGATCAATACCAGGAATATGATTTGAGATATCAGTTAAACCTGGCCATGGATAAGTTGTTACACCAGAGCATAATTGTGATGGAGTTTGTGAGCCAGCTTTTAACCAACTAAACTGTTTAAATGATGTTGAAACAACAGACGAGAATGATTGATATGTTAAAAGTAAAGGATATGAAAAAGAATGATTATTTTGAATTGTTAAAGAGATGTCATTTGGTAAAGTTCAAAAACGTAGGAAATCAAAATAATTGTCATCAATGATATGATCTAATCAACGTGATATGTCACAAACTGATTGAAAGTTAATATACATACCACTGAACACTGGGTCAGAAACCCCAAGATCCTAGGTTCGATCACTGGATAGAACTATCATGGAGAACTGATGAAGAGTTCTAAACTAGAACAAAAAAGCTGTCGAATGCTGATTAATTTTCTATAGTATCTCGAATGACATCAATCTGTTAAGAATACAACCTATGAACTAAATCTTTCACCACAAATAAATTGTTCTAACAACTCAAATCAGTTACCATTATCTAAACAATTGTATATTAAGTTTTTCATAACACTTTTACATTCATTATACTTCTGTTTATGTCATTATTTATTTAGCCCCCAGTCCTAACTGTCGGTACTGTTTGTCTAATGTTTAGTAGTTAAGAGAAGACAAACTAGATGAAGTAGTGGTTCTTTGTTTTGTGTAGTAAATTTGTAGCTGTAATATTCATGGTGCTGTTGTTTACTACAGTTAGTACATTCGGTGAGACTATGATTTATGAATGAACGGTGAGCTAAGTCAAAGTGACCATGAGAAAATCTATCTACTAACTAAGATCTAAACAGGGTTATAAATTACTGTGAGAAATTAGAATCGGGATTTACAATTACAAGTTGGGATTATGAATTACATTTAGGGTTTTCATTATGAACTGACATCAGCTATAATGTCGAAATACTATTTAGCCATATGAATGAATAAATTTTATGCCGAAATTCAAGATATAAAGAATATCTTAAATCGAATGGGTTCATCCACAAATTATGGTCTCGCAGTATATTCAGTTAAGCAAGAAATGGTCATTGAGAGTAGATGACTACACTTGGCTACAAGTTATCTGATTACCAGTTGCTTCAAACCGTACGTATATATGACAAAGCCATCGAAAAGTGACCTTTACATTTTGAATAAACTGTAATAACAGTGTACATGTATTTCATTTTCAACCAATATATCGATGTTTAAGTCTGATATTTTCACCAAATAATAAACACAGAATATGAGAAATACCATACTAACATGTTCTCCCGAATTCCAATCTTCTGAATTCTTCATGTCCCTTCTTTTTTTCTCTTCCCAAATTTATGTCACTGGATTATACTCCTTTTATAACGTCTTCAAACCCTAATCTTTCCGATTACTGCTTATACTCTTACCACCTCTATCACTACGGGATTTGAATCGACAATTGCATCTCTGTGCTAATGTGATGTGGAAACTTGAACTGATGTACGTACGTACAAAGTTCTATGTTGTTACTGACTGACTGACTGATATTAACATGAATAATATGTAAGCTGATTTAAAATCCAATCTTCAGACTGGTATATATTAAATATAACTCAAAAGCGTTAAATGTATATTTGATTTTATATTAAGTGAAATAGTTTTGCAGAGATTAATGCATATATTAAGCTGTTAGATATAGACAGTAGGAAACAATGTATAGATCATGGTTCCGTGTTACTTGGCGCTCGCTATCAAATTGTCTCTAGAATCTTCAAGGAACTGATATTATCAGGTAGATTTAAACCTGGGTTACCCAGTCACACAGTATGTGAAGTTACCACTAAGCAATTTGGCCAATGAGTGTTCTGTAGGATTGAGAAATTTACAAATGATTGATTATTAAATAATTATCAATTAAACATTTGTCTAATACTTTAATTTAACTTGAGTTTCAGAGTTACCTATCGACTACCTTTATTTTCTTAATAAAAAAACATTGTGCAATCATCACTATCGAGTTAATTAAAATAGTGGTCATATTGCAACTGGACCGATAAAATTCGATCAGTATTAAAAAGGGCTAGACAGATATGTAATTAGCCACCACTCAGTAATTAAACAATACATTTGGTATCATGTGGATAACCGCTTTTAAACGTAATAACACAGAAATAACTGCTTTGTCCAAATTCCAACACAATAAATTTACAATGTGAAATAATGACACATATAATTATATTTTTATATAATCTAACCTACTTCAGTCTGTTTACCCTCAGAATTGATAAGTGCCCTTTCTGTTACAGCACGTAAAAGATCACGAGCTTAAAATGAGTAAAATATGTGGAAAACAAGTTTAATATGGTGAGACAATACAAATGTACTAAATCAGTATGAACTTTTTTAAATGTCAGAAAAAAAACGATTACTTATTAAACAAAATGATTACAATGGAGTTGGTAAATTCATTCTGACTTATATAGCCTACATCACAGATTAATCGTAGTTAGGCAACCATTGAATAGCTCTTTCGTACCAGTATGAGCCTCCTCAGTGGTGAATATTCACTGGCTCAACAGGGATTGGATCCAAAACTTTTGGGTTCCGCAGCAAACACCTTAGGTTTAGACCTCTGAGTTGTAGTTCAAAGGTTTGTATGTTTGATTTTAATCAATTCATGATATTGTACAATTAGATTATGATCTCATTGGTATGTAACTGTCTCACAGCTGACATGACTGAACTCCACTGGTCATGGCTTCTTACTAACAATCTGCATGTATCTCTTGGAATTAGTTACTCATAGGTAAGTGATAGTTATTAGCATACGGAGTTGGTGAAGATCATTAGAGCGTACAATACACTTATTCAATAACTATTTGTCGAACGAGTTAAGAAAATACTCAGTCGTATTTACCATTATCAAATCGATGAGAAATCAAATGATCAGACGTTAACGTATAAATTTCAAACCAATTCACAGACTAGATACATGCTTAACACATTCAGATGTATCCTATATATTATTGAATTTGACAAGAATATACGAAACCTAGCAAACAAAGATACTGATTTGTGCCATCAAATCCCTGACACTTAGTTAAGATGTCACATAGATATGACAACGAAGAAGGATCTAGTTTGATTGTAGCATGACTTACATAGACATTCATCAGAATTGGAATAAAAAATTTGACAGAAATTAGTCACCAAGTATGCCATAGATATCGGATATAAAATTATATTTGAAATAAACTCAGTGATTACTATCATCATTTCCATGAAGTAGCTGAAATCAGTTTGCTACATAACCCAATAGATTAGTTATGTAGTATTTGGTTTTTTCCGAAAAGGCAAATATATCGCAGGTACCTAGGTTGAACAAGAGAGACGATTCTATGTAACGTACGAGAATGTCATGCCTTAATACTAAACTAATCATTTACATGTTAAATCCATTGTGATCAACATCTGTTACCAGCTAGATTAACACATTCACGCCTAACAAACTTAGGGAAACATAAGAATTACACAAACAAATATTTGTTCGCATTCACCAGCTAATCACAGTTTATCGTAGATCAAACAAACCCAGCAACTAATTATATTTGTTTAAATTGAAAACTGAGTTTATTCAGCAAATAATCGGTTAATCAGAGGTGAGTACTACTTCAATTTATTGCAAATCTGACTTAACTAGTATTAATAAAACGTAAAAATCAGTATCCATAAATTATACCCCATCATGCCTCCTTACTTACATCATATCATAATAATTTTTGTTCAGCAGTAACACTCTATTTTATGAACTAGATCAAATTGAAAACGAGATCCAATGTATGATAACTTAATAGTCATATGATCACTATAAAATCTAAAGATGCCTACACTCTCACAATTGATTGATCACTGGGTGGTGATCAATGTCATGTGTGTTAAATCCTTATTAGTGCAGATCAAATGCTATCGACCATGGTGCGATGCGGCCACCAGTCTAGGTGACTCGACATTGCGTGCACTATGTCGGTCGCGGCCCGGATAGCTCAGTGGTAACGTCTCTTTCCGTCAGGGAGCACCGGTCCCCTCAAGATTACAAATATACCTTGCTGACGAGTGCCAAGTAGCACGAAACCCTGTCGGCTACCTCCAACTACCATCTAATGCCTAGACTCTATCCCAAGCTTATGATTGTGGATGTTTACAAGTTGAACAGTACCAATTTAGTAATAATAAACTTTTTCCTAATTTTCAACAGTTGTTTAGCTGAAATCACTCAATGTCTATAATGATACAAACTTAACATCACTTGCTCAAGCTTCATCTATAGATGTTTAACAAAACAAAACAAAAATAATAATAATAATAAAAGTTAACATCAAAATCTTCTAATTATCTGAATCGTTGATTTAGAAAATCAAATAAAAGTATAGTATCCAAGTAAATTGAACACTGAAATGCATCATACCATATTTCTATAGAAAATGTATGTAAATGAAATTAACCGATAAACAACCCAGAAATGGAATCTGTAATTTTGTTCATCGTTGTTTTGATTCATTAATTATGCTTCAAGTTTGTTTGTTTTTGTTATTGTTAAAACTAAAACAAACTTGATTAACAGTGAAAATGAAGTGTACTTAGTGTAACGATGGTTAAAGAATTATGGATAGAATTTGAGGAACAATAGAAAATGGGGTGGATATGAGCTAGTAACAGAATCTGTTTCCTTTCTTCTCTTTTTTTCAAGTTTATTACAGGAGTGAAAAATAAATTGATGAGGAATACTTCACAGACGCTTAAAATGGACTAATTTATTGAAATCAAAGAAAAAAAATCAAGTGATGAGATAAAAAGAAAAAAGAGAAGACTTGAAGGAAAAAGGATGAAAGGAGAACTACAATAATACGAAAAATTAAATAATTCTTAAGTAAATAAGAAAAGACCATGATAATTAATCAGGTGAAAGTTTTTTGATTAATTCTTAAGATGAAACATTATGTTTCTATGAAAAGAATAGACGTAATATAGTTTAATTTTGAGATTAGATGGTGGTCGTGAGGGAACTGGTGCTCCATGACGGATTCGATCCCTCAAGATTACAAGTACGCCTTGCTGACGAATGCCAAGTAGCACGAAACCCGGGTCCAGGGTTTCCTGTCGACTACCTCTAACCACAATCTAATCTCAACATAGTGCACGCAGTGTCGAGTCACCTAGACTGATAGCCACATTGCAACATGGTCGATAACATTCGATGTGGACTAATAAGCACTTGACACATATGACATTGATCACCACCCAGTGACAAATCAATTGTGATGGTTTAACTTCATTTTTACCCGTTATTGATTCCATGGATTTCAATTGGTCATTACTTTTTGTTAGATATATGTACCCTGAGCGGATTAGCTAGATATATCTATTATGATACAAAATAATATAAAACGGATGGAATGAAGCAAGAGGTAAAATCCAAGACACACAATTCATCCTATTTGATACTCGTCGGCTGAACGTGCCTGAATTTTTGAGTTGATTCATGAACGCCATCGAGTTATGCATTTAGCTACTAAGTCCATATAGCTTGTCACTTCTGCAACGTGTTTGAGATTTAATTCGATTTCAAATGGTGTGGATTATCCCGTTATCAAAATTTGATCTGTTTTAGTTGGTATATAGGAAAACGGTACTGGGTTTGGGTCCCGGAACGGATATCAGCTCTAGGATGCAGGTATATCCAGCTGATGAGTTCCAAATAGGAGGAAACGATTATCTTGGATTCCACTACTAGCCACATTTCATCTATTCTGTATCGACTTTTGTCATAATGGGTATATTGAGTTCATCCGCAAAGGATGCCATTCATAAACCAAGACTGATCAAAATTCAATAAAAAAATATTAACAACAGAGTAATTCACACTATTTCAAATTGAATATATTTAAGTAAATTTCGATATTGGCTAGTAGTGCAATCCAGGACATGTGTTTCACCCGCTATATTCCTGTTTTGATGTTAATTTTGAGGCTTGAACGTTAAACCTTACGCTTTAAACGGTCAATGAGTTATCCATCTAGCCAATGGGTCCAAATAACCACCAACTCGTCCAACTGTTTGATAAAATATGCTTACGATTCAAATCTTTACTACTTACAAGTAGTTTGTTATTTTCCCTAAAATTCGTACTGTCATGAGTATGGCTATCAAAATGCTTGTATTGTTATAAGGTTAATTATCAACTAGATTTAAAAAAAGGTTCGGAAAACTGAAAGCATGTAGTATTACAACAAGGTGTAAAACTACAAAACACTTACAGAATACATAAATTTACAGTAGGAGAAATAAAGGAATTTTCAAACTTAGTTAAAGTAATGATAGCCAAGTACTTACATATATTAGGATTTCTGCGTAAATCAAGAACAACTAAAGAATGATTTCCACGATGTTGATCATCTATAGTAGATGATCTATTTGATTTCAAATGTATTTCATCATGTGTCATCAATTGATTTCCATTAGCTATTCGTAATCCAATCAATACAGCTAACCATGTACTTGCTGAGCTATCACTTAAATTACATGCTTGTAAATCAATAGCTTTCACCCATAAATCATCAATCAATGCATCAGCTAATTGAATAGAGCCTTCATCGCATATTTTTGGATTGTCATTCAATGTGATACGTTTTAATCCACCAAGACGATCAAGTTCTGGAAAACGATAACGTAATGATTCTTGCCAAGCGGCATTATGTCGTTGCATTGCTTGATACTAGATATAAAACATGGTATAAAATAAATAAAAGTGAATCACAAGTATATATATATATATATATATATATATATATATAAAGCTATCTTACAGAACTATAATTTATGGATGGACGTTGGGCAAAGTCAAAGTGACCACGAGAAAATCCATCTACTAACTAGGGTCTAAACAGGGTTATAAATTAATTCACTTGGTATTGTTTTACTTACCTATTGATGTTTAGGACTGCAATTGATCAGTCTGTTATTGGCATATGCGCATACTGTGCGTATTGCCTTTATGTACAAGCATTATAAGCAATGATGGATAGTGGCTAGCAGTGAAATCCAAGACGCGCGTTTCGTCCTATTCGCGATTCGCCAGCTGGATGTACCTGCATCTCAGAGTTGATGTTCACTCTGTGATTCAAACCCGATACCGTTTGCTTTAAACGCCATCGCGTTATCCACTGAGCTACTGAGTTCTGATAGCCACTTACTGTGAGTAATTAGAACCAGGATTTACAATTACAAGTTAGGATTAAAAATTACAGTTAAGTTTTTCATCACGAAATGAACACTGGTTGAGTGTTAAACGCTACAACAAAGTTTTACTTATTAGAATGAATATGGATAAAACCACTTACGAATCCACATCTTGATATTGATATCAAGTTTTTAGTTCAAAACGTATCTAGTGGTTCATCAGTTTTCTTTAACACATCAGTGGATAGCAGTTTATAATAGTAACCATAACCAATTAATCAAACAATGGTTTAATATTTGTGAGAAATGAATTAACCAAAACTGTTTGTTATGCTAAAAACAGAACTCAGATATCATATATTTGTACCCGTCTCAAGGTTAAGCGGTTACTAAGATATTATGGATTCGGTTCACTATTAGCTGATCTTGATTATAGATCTAATCAATCTCATATCAATATAAAGAGAACAAATACATATAAATGCTTATAACTTGAGTTTTATCATTTGATTTCAACAATTAAAACTTTATAATCATTTAGCATTTATTCACTCTCATTAGTAGTTTGTTAATCGTATGGAACGAATGTGTGTATAATGTAAATGAATCGGAAGTTACAGATAAGAAACCAAGTCCCATAGAGATAAATAAAAAATGTTTAAAATTATTGTTGAATGTCTTACAAAAAGTTCTTTAAAGTTCAACCATGATTATAAAAGTAAAAAAGAAAACAATTAATTTTACTTATCCTATTTGTTATAACTTGTGGTCTGTGTGCCCCGTTAATGAATAAGTAACGATACCGCCAATTAAGGAACAGTGACTTATCGATCGAATCAATGAAGTGTAAACCCGTACGAGCAGCCTACAGTCCTGATTGACCATGCTTTCCACCTAGCCCAGCCAGTTAAGTCCAGAACGCAAATCTCATCCTCTACGATATTTCAAACATACTGGGTTTATATGCCAACCAGACAGACCACAACGTACCATAAAATAGGTAACAACATTCGTAAAAGATTTAGCCAAATGTGGCTGTGAATACGGGAGGCAGTAACTAATAGACAGGGCATAATTCAAGAATGGTAAAACGTATAATAATGGTTCATAAATCAAAATAAAACTTATAACAAGAGGAATATGAATACGAATAGTTTAGTTAATTAACAATTATACGATAAAAATATACGTTAAGTATTGGTCCATAAATGGATCCCAAAGTTACCATTCATGATGCTTATCGGGATCTAACAGTATGTTATTGGCTTATGTGAATGATGTGTGAATTGTCTTTTCCACTTCAAGAAAAAATTACCACTGATCAGTTTGATAAGAGGAACACGAATATGAATAGTTTAGTTACCTAAAAATTATACGATGAAAATATACGCATAGTATTGGTCTATAAATGGGTCCCAAAAGTTACCATTCATTATTCTCATCAGGATATAACACTATTAACGACTAAGAATTATAGTGATCATAAAATTTGTTTGATCTAAATTAAAGTCCCTGTTAATTGAATGCAATAACTTAGAGAGTTGAACTCTAGTAAAACTCAGTATAACTAATAAACCGATTGCAACGAATAAAAATGAAACAATCACTTGATGGTATTGATGACGGTGGTGGAGACAGTGACTTTTATGTTCTTTTTTGATGTTTTTCATTTATAACAAATACCGTCGTTTCAAGTACAAAATTCAAAAATTGAAAATAATGTGAGATGTGGTGGTGGTTAGACGTAGTCAACAAGAACCTCTGAATTTAAGTTTCAAGCTATTGAACACTCATCAGTAAGAGGTATCCGTAATAGTGAGAAGACATATCATATTCAATGAATTAGTTACTCGCAAGCAAAGTAGGAGCTGCTACAAATAAACATTGGTACAAGTTGTATGTATCATATTTCATAGCATTCATAATTCATCTTGTAATAATCATAATTTTTATTCCGTAACTTCATTGTCTCTTCAGAAAGCATTTTGTCTATACTTAAACATTCCTAATACTAATGATAAGATCAATTCATTTTTTACTCTGACACTTATCCTGACGATATCATTTAATCGTGATGATGGGCTGTAAAAACTCAAATCGACAAACATATGTGTTGAGTTATTCCTTGTCTATAACTGACTGACTGATGACAGAACTAGTAATATTATCGGTAATAATAATAATAAACCGGAATAAAGAATATGGTTTGAGAGGAAATAGTGAATCCATGGCGTAAGAAGTATGAAATAACAATAATAGTAACCCAATCCAGTAGAAAATTAATTTTCTAAACAAATGCTAACCAGAAAAAATTATTCAAACCATTTAAACTCTGTCCTGGGAGTTAGTTCTTCATTTAGAAGAGTTTTGACGCCTCATGATGAAAGCCGAGATTCTTTCGGAAGTAACGAGGCTAATGCCCCTTCTGACAACCAGAGCAACCATTTATTTAGGTACATGGAATGCTCGTACAATGTGGGAGACTCGGAGAGTCTTCCAAAATGCTGGATTGCTGCATCCCATTTCAACGTTCGATAAAAGTGTATTATATCCAGTATTTTTGACAGTTTCATCATTCATTTAATGAATCAGTCTTGTATATAAGAGTATGATTTTTACTGTAGATTTTATTTCAGTCTTATAAAACTATCTTCTATGAACACGCTACTGTAACTCATCCTAACATGTTGAATGGAAAAATTAAATCAAGTGTTATTAAGTGCATGAAATGAAATCCTCAGTGATAATTATGTTCCTTATGAAGAAGCACTCATCTGCTAAGTGAACGGGAAAAGTGGTAAATGCCACACACACACACACACACATAGAACATTGAAAAATGGATTGGTAACAAATTTACCGACACTTATCGTATATAGAAAAATGTTCTTATTCATATCTATCGTAAAAACTGACAAACTTTTAATTAAAAAAAATAAAAAAACGACAAAAAAAACTGATTAAACTAGAAAGACAATTAAGCTGATTTTTAATAAAACCATCGTTTATCTTACTATCCTATCTTTGCTTCATTTAATCCACACCACCACAACCACCACCACCACCACCATCTCCTTCTTCAAATTGACTTTAATAAATTTGAACAAAGGTGAGTTTTACGAAGTTACCCAGTTTAATTAGTTTTAAAAAAATTGATAAAATGTAAGAAAGTAAGTTGGAAACTTGCAGCGGTCATTCAACCACTGGTTGAATAATGTGTTTTATCTGTGTGCATGTGTATGCGTGTCTCAAAGTGTACGCATATGCTTACTCATTATTTCCTGATCTTATACACACATAAAAATATATGTTTAGAAATGCATACAATGTATATGTTCATATACATATATACCTGTCCCTAAGCGGATGGGTAAGTCTTGAGAAATATGATAGAAATGAATGAAGCTGATGGGTTTTTGTAACTAATCCATTACTATTATGATCGAAATACTGAAATTGAACAGAATGAGAAACAAAGAAATGCGACAAAACTACTTAGATGGGAATATCCATTTTATTAACGAATGGATGTCATGATTTGAGATGATTAATATTCTGAATTTCCCCTACAAATCGATCTTATTTAAGGGATCATTAGAAACCAAGAAACATAGTAGATGTTTCGTCCTAGTTTGGGACTGCTCACATCCTCATCAGTGTTCTCACGCAGGATCACAGGTCTTGCAATGAGTATGTACGCTTTAGATTACTTAACCGGCATCAAATAGTTAACGAGTCAAATGTCAATCTATATCATATAACTGTCTTCCGATACCTTTAAAGGTTAACTACCTCTTACCCGACGTGACTGAACTGTACTATTCACAGCTTATCACGAAAAATTCAGGAATTCCCTTTTAAAATTAGTTACTAATGTGTAATTTACAAATCACCGAGATATTTACTTTGATTATTTTACTATTGTTCGTCAACTTTCTATCTAATTTTGTTCACTACTCAACTGTCAACTTCTGATCTGACTGAGAAAACAAACAAACAACCAAACAAAATAACCGAATAAAAATAGTAACTCATGTCAGTGTATGTGTATGCATGTGGTTCAATTAAAATTTTCTTCGAATATTGAGATTGTGAATTGAGAACTATATGGAGTTATATTTTAACATAAACTAAATTAACTTACTTAAAGTTGTTTCTTTTGCTTACCTAGTGATTTAATTATTTAATAGGTTAATTTCATCTATAAATTTTATTATACGGTTTTTGTTCAACTTCTCTCAGCTACAAAACGAACACACTCAAACCTACAGCCACACACCCACACACACAAAAAAAATATGATCAGTTCTGATTAAATTTACTGAATATAATTAGAGAGTAAAATGAAGAAGAGATAAACGATTAGAAAAGTAAAGAGAAAAATATCAATGACTTCACTGTTTATCAGAATGAAATTTACGCTCATTGCATAGATTGTTTTTTTTTTTTGTTCATAGAATATATTACTTGATTAAATCATGTTTGATAGTAGATTTAGTGTTATATTCAAACATACTACTTAAGTAG